GGTTTCTTTTTCTCCTTAGTGGGTAGTACAGTTCTTGTGTTGAACCGCTTGGTCCAAAATGGTTGATGGTTTGACCATCTGATCAACTTAAAAAACCCGTGAAAATACATACAAAATAATTAAATAATAAACCAAAAATAATCAAAACAATCCTCATAACTATTGATTTCTGAATGTTTTCTTATAAATAATAAAATAAGGGGTTCTTTTACCGGATTAGATGGTTAACCCAGGTGATGGTCCAAATGGGCCATCTATTTTGTGGACTGGATTGCAGGACCATCTTGGGGAAGTGGTGTTTGTGGAGCTGCCGGAGCCAGGTGGCTCGGTGTCAAAAGGTGGCAGCTTCGGAGCTGTAGAAAGTGTGAAGGCAACTAGTGATGTGAACTCCCCTATTTCAGGGGAGATCGTTGAGGTTAATACCAAGCTTAGTGAAGCACCCGGTTTGGTAAGGAATTCCAGCTCTCTTTCAGGTTTCAATTCCATTGAATTTGAATTCCTGCCTCTTTTAGTTCTAGTTCTTTGGTTGTGGGCTCATTGCATACAGTGATGTGTAGATCAATTCAAGCCCATATGAAAATGGATGGATGATCAAGGTAAAGCCCAGCAGCCCATCAGAACTGGAATCCTTGATGGGTCCAAAGGAGTACACCAAATTCTGCGAGGAGGAAGATGCTGCCCATTAGAATTGGAAGATTCCTTCGGGTTCCTCTTCTTATGATGAAGAAGATATTTAGCCAAACTTTTGAAAAAATTTCTGTTGATTGTTGAGAATTACAGGCATCGAACTTATTTTACACTCCCCAGTTCTGTTCTCAGTCTCTTTATTTGTAGTTGTGCAGTCTTTATGTAAGGTGGTGTTTGGTGAGTTTTTTTTGGCACATCTTTTGGTTTGTGGAAAGCTCAAAATATTAAAAAATGGTCTTTTCCGTTTGGTATCGCGTAGATCAAAATATGCGAGGACGAGCACATGGAAAGACCGAAGAAAACAAAAATAAAGAAGCTTTAAATGAAGTTTTTGATCTTTCCACATTGAAAATAGCATTCCCAGCTGTTTTTATCAACCTGGTAGACCATGCTGTGAACCAAACGGTCTTGATCCTTAGGCTGTGTTTGGTTACAGTGCAATTTTATTTGCATTAGTACAAATGCATGGGGGTGTAAATATAAAAAATGCAAATTCTTTAATTTTGTTTTGGGTTTTACCTTATTCTGCTTAATGTCTTAATCAAACAAAATAAGCTAAATTTTGAAATAAAAATAGGTCACAATTTACACTCAAATCATTTACACTGCCATGGTTTTGTATCAGTGCAAATTTATTTGCATTGCAATCAAACACAGCTTTAAAGATAAGACCCTAAAAGCTCAATGTGTCTTTTAAAAGATCTACCTAGAAAGACTTACCAAACAACAAGAAAACTGTTGAAGGATCGAGTGTCCTCTTTCTTTCATGCATCAAGGCTTCAAAATCCAATGGTTAAAAAGAGGTATGAGATTGGTTGTGGTTGAATCCTGTTCAACCGACTCATCTGGACTGATACTCAAATCAACAGCAAAAACTATGACCATTTTCTGTAGGGTCGTCGTTAATGGGTTGGGTTTGGGCCTAGAGTTCAGGACCCAACTTTATACTGTCTCGGGTTCAGGCTTCGGATTGGGCCTATTAGAATTTTGACAAAAGTCAAATCCGAACCCGGCCCATGAACAGGTGTAATTGCCACCCCTGTTTTGTTTTTCTGTATATATCCAAAAGAAGCCTTTACTAACAGCAAATAATCTACACTTTCCATTACCAAATCATCTTGACAATCAAAAAAAATATTTAGAATTCAATCCTTTTTATGGATAAATAAGAAGCATAACACATGCTGTTATTGCTTTTCTTTTTCTTCCAGTCTACATAGCTGGTGATGAAATCTTTCTGATTCTTGCTAAGCAATTGTCTATGGGCCTTGTATGAGGCAAGTACCTCACTGGGCATTCTGGGTTAAGCCGCTCAAGCCTGCGAATGGCCAATTCAGAGTAGATTGTTAGAAAAATCAGAAAATTACTTATATTTGCTAAAACGTGAAAAGAACACTAACTATTTGGTTCATGGGAATAGAGGTCTGGAATCGGATTCCAACTGTTTGGTTAGGTAGAATCAGAACCCCATTTCCATTGCTGGGAATGGCACTCCTTCTTATGAGGGAATGGCCTTTCCCTCTCTCTCCCCCAGGAATGAGAAACCAATCCAGCCAATTTTGATTCCGATTCCAATTCTAGTTTGAACCAAACAGGTGAGGGAATGGACCACTCTGGTTCCGATTCTGATTCCGATTGTAAACCAAACGGACCCTTATATCACAAATATTGATGGATTTGTATGGAGATTCCATTCCAACTCCCAAGGATTTTTTTTTCTTTGGTAATTTTATAACTATTAACTAAAGAATCTGAGACTTGATATTCTCTTATTAATCGAGAGAATGCATTTAAAAATTATTTTTCTTTCTTTTTTGTTAGACCAACTCGGAGATGGAAACTCAAGATGAGGAACTCACTGATAATTAAGAAGAAAATAGTGGAGGAAAATAGAGATCTCTAGCTTGGCAAGATCATTTCCAGGGCACAGCCTGCTTCCTGCTCCAAAGGGAAGGTAGGTTCCTGCTTTGGGTGTATACCCCTGGACACAGACAGTTTGAGAAGATTATGTATTAGATTACAGTACAAACCTCGTGGCAACATATATGTACCAAAAGAAATAGATAAGAAAGTTATAAATATAAAATCTTACTCACATCCCATCTAGAAGGATTAAATTCCTTTGGATTAGGGTAAATTTCAGCATCCAAGTGAACACTCCTGAACCAAACCAAAACTTTCCATCCCTTGGGTATGCTGTAACCTGGAGAAATACATCATTTTCTCTCAATAAATCATAAATCAGAGAGAGAGAAACTTCAACCCAGAAAGATAGAAAATAAGAGAGAGTTCAAAGAAGCTGACCACTGATATTGACATCCTTTCTAGCCTCCCGGAATACTACTAGTGATATATTAATGAGACGCAGTGTTTCATCAATCACCTTCAAGGTCAAGACATTGCTGTAATTGTTTGTATTCCATAAACCTACTAGTAGTCAACTCTGCTTGAAATTTGAGGAGCCTGAAATTCAGGTCATAGAGCAAATACCTTGGAAAGATAATCCATTTGTCTAATTTCCTTGAGCGTCAAACCTTTCTGTGTGGGTAGTCGGTTCCTTACAATCTCCTCTTGCTCTGCCTAAAACATGTGGTAATATTCAGTTAGAAAACAGTCAGTGGAATAGATATAATTGGCAGAGTTGCAGAGGTAATGCTGGACTCAGCATCCATTTGAATTTTCAAAAATTTGTGCTTATTTGGGGCTAAACCAACTCAATTTGACTGAGTTGAAGCTTAACTAAGCCTTTCTGCATATAGAAAAACCTCTAAAACTAGATTCTCTGGTTTCACCTTTGCCTTTTGGAACAACTCTGGATGTTTCTGTAGTAAGACAGTGGCCCACATTGTAATGTGGGCAGAAGATTCATGGCCAGCATTCAAGTACATGACTAGAACATCGATGATCTCGTCGTCGCTCAGCCTTCTGCCATTCTCATCTTCGACATACATGAGAACATCCATCATGTCTTTCTTTGCCGGAGGTGGACAACTCATCATCCTCTGCCTTCTCTCTTTCACAACCGAATTAAGAATTGCTACAAGGTTTTTCCGAGACTGAAACCAAGAAAACCAGTTGCAGATTTGATAATGAAAAAAGCCATTGTTCCATAAACATAACAAAAAGAAGCTTATAGAGACAACAACTGTTATATAAGGAAGAACAAGGCTTCACACCGTCACCTTGAGAGCTTTGTGATATGCAAATCCGGGGAGATTAATGGCCATTGCTCTTACTCCATAATTTAGAGCTGTATATTCCTTCTCCAGAGCCTCCATTATATGCTCACTCTCAGAACTGAGAAATATGTACATGATTATCTTAAAAGTAAGCTTCCTCAGCTCAGTTAAGAACTCAATTGTCTCCATACCAGCCCATTTCTCCAATGCAGATTTTACACAGTCCTCAATATACCCAAGATACACAGATAATGCCTCTTGCCCATTAACTGGAGCAGCTGTTAGACGCCGCAGACGCCGGTGTTCCTCGTCGGAAATGCCTATAAAAGACTTCCTTCCGATGAGATCACAAGTGGCCTTAGGCCAACCGGGTCCAAATGTTTCATCATCCATTAGAACCTGCCTGCAGGATTCTGGTAATGTAACCATTATACTTGGGCTTCCGAACATGAAGGCCTTGTATACTCCAGTTCGACCATATCTGCATTGCAAATCAAACGATGTCACAATTCACAGTGTGATCAGGAAAAACATTAACCGTTGAATAGCTACGATTTCCTTCAGTGCCTACAACTCCTATCAGGACTAAATGGGCTGGTCCTTGATGGACCACCAAAGCTCCAACCTTTTCTGTGTCACCAAGGACTGAATGCTGAACGGGTTCAGCAGGCCTAAGGTCTTGCCACCTGGCAACAATTCGGACAGGTTCCACTACACCAGACGTATATAACCTACTTGGTTAATTATCCCTTCTCGAGTCTCGGGTATAGACCGCCCACCCGACTGATACTCGAGTTTGAATTTGAAGTGGCCAACACGGTTTTCTTTGACCATGGAAATTCCAATTAATACTTGCTTTTGTGGTCAGTTAAGGTAGTTAGGCATCTTTTGATTTTGTTTTTTAATAGGATAAGATATTTTTTCCTGTTTTTTTGCCGGTGGGTCCACTCAGATTTCTTCTGCGGATATGTCCAGAAGATAAATGACAGTCCACTCTGGGTGGGGACGTCCAGGAAAGACATGATACCACGACAAATGAAACATCCTTTAGGCCCTGGGCCCCATTCCATATTCCTCTGGTTGTTGCTAAATGACAGAATTGCCCTTACACGTAAGAAAAAAAATTTAAATAATGGTTTAGAATGGATAGCACGTGTGGCAGCAAGATTGGTAGGCCAATTCAAATTTAAATCCGATTGTTGTTAGACTTGGATATTTCTCTATATGTATAAGCATACATATATTATGCTATAGGAAAAACAACTGTCCAATAAATTAGGTAGCGAAGATTGGTCAAAACTCTTTTCATATCATTTTTTTTTTCTGTATCATAGATTTTTTTATTTATTTAATTATAAATATCTTTAAATTACATTTTCATAAGTTTTTTTATAAAAAGACACACATATATATATATATATATATCATAAAAATAATTGAAAATTTATTGTATTTTTTATATTTTATACTATACTTTCTTTCTTTTTCTGAAATTGAAATTGACATTTGTGGAATTAATTCTATCAGACCCATTTCTATCCCTGCCTACTCTCTTTCTCTCTTAATTACTAACTACTGTCAACACATGACTCGTCTGGTTGCCGCCTGTTGTTTTGAAATTGGGATCCGCTGCTCATATCCCACCGTGCATTGGAAACATCTGTCATGAATAATAACATATATATAAGTATGGAAGATGTTCCTGATGCACAATGGGATGTGACTGTGAGATCAGTGTGAGGCATGCTCTATGAGGAACAAATCCAGTCTCGTTGTTTTATACTGTCTACGTGGGACTGCCTCACTGACAGCTAAAGCCTCATTTACTGAGCCCAGATCTGCTCCTCACACCGATGTCACAGGGTGTTTTGGCTGTACATCAGGAACATCTCCCATATTTATATTTATTATTCATAAGAGATGTTTCCAATACAGGGTGGAATGTGACTGTGAGGCACTTAGTGAGGAGCAGATCTCAATTCTCATCTGCCATTTTATAATAAAATGTATCTAAAATCATGTAAGTATTAAATAATTACTAAACTAATTAAAAATAACTCCCATAAATTAACTGTGCTACTAAAGAAAAAGATGAGAGGAGGATATGGATGCAGATTCAATATCATATATTGAGATGCAAATCTGGGTTAATCAGATCAGATTTTGGACAATTTGTAACATAACGTTGCTATTAATGCTATTAACAGTATTTGATGATCAGATCGAGACCGGATCTGCTCCTCACACGCACATCCTACCATGCATTGGGAGCATCTCCCGTACTTATTAGTTATTATTCACGGAAGATGTTCCCAATGCATGGTGGATGTACCTGTGAGGCGCCCATTTGTGAGGAGCAGATCCCGGTTCGATCAGATCAGGTTCTGGTTCTCAACTTCGCATGGACATGTGAATAAAAAAAGAAAACGATCAATGCCTGATGATCAGATCAGCCAATCGGGTAGCGGTTCTCATGGACCATCACTTACCGTCTATGAACATTTCATAAAAGATTAATTAATTAAAAAAACTGGGAAGTAATGCCAACAAGAATGACAAGAACCACCGCCGGCGCCGGCATCTTCTCTCTCTCTCATTCCAGTAAGTCAGTAAGTAGCTCTATCATTCATTCTAAAGAATACTCACTCTACAACAACAGCTTGATGTTTAAAACTAGAGAGAGGAGAGAGAGAGACTGACCTCTGAAGAAAGGTGGAGATGAAGGAATCGGGATCACCAGACTTGTAAGCTCTGAGGAAGGACCACATGTTTCCAATTAAAGGCAAACCCAGATCGCCTGGAGGGAGAGACAGTCGCTTTTCACCCAATCTACGCTCATAAAACCAAGCATTTGCTCTCTTGAGCAAAATGTAGAGAGCAAATGAAGCAGCCAAGACCAAGAGCAGCACCAAGTACACCTCCCAAATAAAACCCACCTCCATTAAAAGACTGACTGACTGATTGCTGCTTGTTTTTCCTCTTGGCTGCTATAATTTTATCAAAGCTCGATCTGTTTATCTTCTATCACACTTTACCTCCAACGTTCAACTCTATATGGATATATAGCAAAAGAGAAAGAGAATGGGGTCCAGTATTGTTGTAATCTTTGTCTGCTGATATGAAATTGGAAAATAATAAAACCAAGTATAATCTCTCCCCATTTATCCTTAATGGGCCAAGGGAATTTGCCCGCCTCTCTCTCTCTCTCTCTCTCTCTCTCTCTTTACTTGCCTTGTCCTTTTCTCAAAAGCCTCGATTCTCTCCTAGTTTAAAAAAAATTTTAAATGAAGGAAATCTGTTCTCTGTGCTCACAGTCACAGATTCAAGACACTGATTTGAGGACATAGCTAAGCTAGTAAGGATGAGTCATGAAAACACTGAGCTCTTTTTTTCTTTTCATAATGAAATAGTGAATTGTTGTGACTGCCCTCATTCGCCAGGGCTCCTAGCAGTATGCGTTTGTCCAAAATTCGAATTTGAATTCCATCCCATTCAGGATGAACCGAATCCAATCTGTTCATAGTTTGATAGAACGGCCGGAGCATTTGGTAGGAACCATTCATGCAATCGTTTTTTTTTTAGCTTAAACTCATTCTTTGGCCAAAAACTGTTGAATTGGTTAACGACTTATTGACCCAGGCAGTCAAATCATCGACCCTTTCAATATTTTTTTACTGTTTTTTATTTCAATTTTTTAGTTGAAACAAGCCATCCGTTCAAACTGGACGATCAAACCATCAACCCAAAAACCAGTGACTGGAGCAGTTCCAATTCCAAAACCCTTGTAAAATACAATATTAAAGTCATTTTTATTTCATCGTTTTAATAATTAATATTGTATAATATTTTGATCATTTTAAGTTTAAATTATTTATACTATTATTCAATATTTGATTGCAATTCAAATCCAATGTAAATATGATAAATAAAATCTATTTTCGAATTTAAATAGAAACAAATCAAATTCGGATTTACCTATTACCCGATCCAATTTAATCCGTTTGCAGCCCAGCCCGGCCATGGATATTACTACTATTAGCAGTTAACTAGTTAGGGTTGTCAAACTCAAATCAACCCGACAATATGAACCGATATATAATGCAGTGGACGAACCATATGCAGGTCCGAGATACCGTGTATGGCCCACAATGATTGATGAGTTATATGGAAGACTTTGTGAGTAGGGCTGTAAATCCATCTGAGTTATAATAATTTCATAATTTATTAAATGCAAAGTAAAAAATAACAAATTAATTAAATAATTAACAATAAATTATTATAAAACATGTAAAATACATTGCTCAAATGTAATACATAGTACATTATTGAAAACAATAAATGGTTCATTTAAAACTAAATAAAATAATAAACATAATTTAAATCAGTAACATATTTATAACTAATTAAATAGTTATCAAAACATAAGAAATCATTTAATAGTTAATAAAATCTGTTTAAAATAATGAAAAAATTAAAATTATTAATGGATTATAATAGCATATTATAAACAAATTGATCAATAATTAATAATTATAAAATAATTAAAAACACATATTACCAATAGTCTTGATTTTCAAAGACCAGCTCCCATGCTAAGCTTTTGCAAAACCCTTTTAGAAAGACTTTCCAAACGGCCACTTGGTCATTTAATTTGATGAAAGTTTTATTTAATATTGGTCACATTTTGGAGAAGTGAAAAGCTTATTTATTTATTATTTATCAGTTGATAGTGAAATGTTTATACATACCATATGCTTAAAGCTTTTGAACTCTTTTCAAATATAGAAAAGAAAAACAAGAGAAAAAAAAAACATGCGTACTTCTTACTAAATTAGAAAAGAAAAAAGATTTGCTAACAGTTTTGCCTAACTCCTTTATAAGGGAAACGATAAGGGAAGAAGATTGTCGATGATGATTTTGACTGTAGCTGAAACATCTTCTAAAGTTTGGTAATTGCAATTACTTTCCCTAAATTTTTTAATACAGTTGCAAGTAGATTATCTCTATTAGAATCCTCTAACAAGTAGCATGAAAATGTCCAAAATGTCCATGTAATTTCTACTGAGACTGGTTTCTAAAAAAAAAATAAAAATAAAAAACAATGCAAACTTTATAAACAACAAAAAAAATAGAGAATTTAACGTTGCAGCTTTACCTTTGAGCAATTGATATAAAGACAAATTTAGAAAAAAAAAATCAATTTTAGAAAAGAGATTGGAAGGGTTTAGGATAGCCATTCATATGAAAAGAAAATTTGGAAAATAAACATTTTGGTTAAAAATAACTACATGGGTATTTTAGACATTTTCATGCCTCTTTTTAGAGGATTCTAACAAAAGGGGTCTACTTGCAACTATGTTACAAAGTACAGGAGAGGTGATTGCAATTACCAAACTGCAAGAGAGGTTTCAGCAATGATCAGAAACTTCAGGGGAGATTTCATCAACTTATCCTATTTCATTTTATATAACTTAAAATTTAATTTATTTTTCTTTAATTTGAGGATGTAAGTAAAATATCTAAGGGTCCATTTGGTTCATAGTTAGAATCGGAATGGTCTATTAAAATAGTCTGTTTGGTTTAGATAGGAATCAGAATGGAAATTGAAATCAACTAGAATGGGATTTCATTCCCAATGGTCAGGATAATTTAGTACTACTTTTAGTGGCATCTTAATTATGTGTAAATTAGCAACACGAACATGGTTTTAGGGCTATCAACAGGTTGGGTCTAGGTCAGGATAGGGATATCAACATGGTTTTAGGGCTATCCCATTTCATTCCACCAAGATCGGAATGGGATTCCATTTCTGCCCAACCAAATAGTTAGAAATTTAGAATCAAAATGGCCTATTCCGATTCCAATTCCAAACCCCTATTCTTGCAAACCAAAGGAGCCCTAAATAAATATGATAGTTTAGTACTACTTTTAGTGACATCTTAATTATGTATAAATTAGCAACACGAACATGGTTTTAGGGCTATCAATAGGTTAGGTCTAGGTCAGGATAGGGTGTATTAGTCCTAAACTGATTATTAATCAGGACACAATCATAGACTCAAAATCATCCCTGTTTATTAATTGGGCCAGTTAGACCCAATTATCCTGACATCTATAATTATCTATGTTAATAACAACTTAAAAATTCACTTTTGATAATATAACCTTAATAAAAAGGGAAAATCTATGATAACAGAACAATTTTGACCAATCAAAACCCTCCCGTTGAATTTTGATAAATACCACCTGATCGGTTACCAGTTACCACTTGTCCCATTTTTGATACCGACTGATTCATTAAGAATTCTTCTGGTATCATAGTCGAATCCTAATAAAAATGATAGTAGCTGGGCAAATTGTTTATATGTTCATAAATCAAGCGCTTTAACAATATATATTATAACAAAAATTACAAAAACAAAAAAAAATTGTAAAACCTGTATATATTACTAACTCAATAATCAGTTCAGGTTTTAATCCATTCAGAACAAGCAAGAACAAATATAATTGGTTTAGTCGGGTAGAATCGACCCATTGACAGCCCTAGAGGTTTTAAGCTAAAAGTTTTAAACTTTTAATTCTTCAAAGATTTTTTTAACCATTATTCATGTAGGGTGATTTGGCCCGACCTCGTAGCACGGGGATATGTGGACATGACCTGGCATAAGTGGCAACTCAGCATGACAGTTTAGCCACAATTCGGCGTAGCAAGCTCGCCGAAGCCCGGCTGAACAACTTGGCAAGTGTGACAAGGGACCTGAGGATGGAGCGCCCTGAGCTCCTTCCGTGCAAAGGGACCCGAGCTACCCTTGAAGCCCGAGCTCCTCCTAAGAGGTTTCGAGCTCTTCCTTCCTAAGAAGGGAACACCCCGACTTTTGGCCAAGTGTCCTGAGGGAGAAACACCTCGGGACAACACCGTCGACACTCCCCTTCTTACTTGCTTAAGGTTCGCCTCCAGTGTGAGCACCTCGGGGTACCTCGACATCTCAGTGCAAGGTAACTTAGCCCCAGGCGGTTTGGTGCAAAGCAGCTTGGAAGCCTGCAGGGAAGATCCACCTGATATCCGTACCTGTCGGATCTGGTGGTACCACCCACGTCTCTCGCCAGGTGGCGTTGTGCCTGCCATCTCTGAAAAGCGTGGCACGCCTGACGGATCCGTACCCTGCAGCAGCAGCTTGCACCCGCCATCTCAGCCCTAGCAGTAACAGCTAGGGCAGTGGCGGTTACGCCTAATGTGACTGAGCTCCGGTATAAGAGGACCCCGACCCCACGAAGCAAAGGTATTGAAGCTAACACTTTCAGCACTCTTAACTCTCTCTCTACTTTCCTTGAGTTTTCCTCAGAATTCTAACTTAACCATTGGAGTGTTCCCAACGGAGAGCTCCCCGGGAATCCTTCACGTTCCTCTCCGTCTCAGGTGCCATCTATCACTGCTAGGAGCCATGTTACAGCCAGCTAGGAGTGCTCAGATCATACAACATCAATTATCTTTTTTTTCCTTTCTTCTTTTACGTAATTGCCAAGTTACCATACAATAATACAATAACGGTTTTGAGCCAATTCCATACATGCACCCAAACGAGAAATGCTTTTTTGATTTCATGGGTAAAGGGAATGTATTAGTCAATGTCCAAAAGTAAAAAGAATATATTATGGTTATGGAACTAAATTCTAAGAGCCGTGCATAATTGTAGAGCAAAATCAAGTTTATTAAAGGCATATATATAAAGTGAAGGACAGATTGAGATGTTGAGATGGATTATTGGAAAATTTTCATGAGACATATTTAGATATTATTCTATTTAAAATGTGGGGGCAAAACCAACTAGCGACCAGATAAGACACAGTAGACTACGATGGTTTGATCAAGTGAGCCACGACCACAGAAAAAAAAAGTATGAAGGAAAAGAAACATCGTGAGCCCAGACTAATGAATGAATTTAACTGATGATCATGTCTGACTGGATGCAAGTAGTCCAAGGCACTGAAGAAAAAACAGGAAGGTATCTGAATCAAGAAATGTAGAAAGATACATTGATTCATTCTTTATGAAAAGAGGAAGCCCTGGTTTTGCCACACTGGATGAACCTTGTAACCTGTTTATCCCAATGTTTTCGAACTGCTATTGTCCCGAACAGTTGGACCGTTTGGATTGGAAACCAT